GGAAAGGGGGAATGGGGTTGGATGCACGTGGACAGGGTGTGTGTGGGAGGGGAGGGAGGGAGAATGGGAATATGTATAGTGTCAATAGTAAAAAAAAAGTAAAAAAAAAAAAAAAAAGAGTTTCCCCTTCTCACTTTGATGGTTGTAGACAAGCCACTCTACACTTTTTTCCACCTGTTTAAATTACAGTATCCTCAGATCAACATTAGTCCCCTGAAACATAGAGACATTATTAATCAACCACCCAGACTTATAATTATGGGCCTAATGCTAATCTTTAGATCTAATTTTCAAAATACTAAAAAGAAAATGACCTGTTCACTGAAAAGGTCAATAACCTTTTTTTTTTTTTTTTGCATGTACATTCTCTAAGATATTTGGCTATGTAGCTTTAATATGCATCCTATGTATTTACTGGTTTTAAACTGTATGAACTGCTATATAATTATAAAATAAATCTGCAAAACAGAAATTTTAAAAGGCTGAGATAAAGAACTTTTACTATTTTCTCCCCATACCTCACAGATTATACATTATATGCCTTCTTCAGGGACTGTTGACCTAAAGAACCACTATATTTTAGCCTAAGTATCTTTTTCCTAACACACCTCATTACTATGCTGGAGGCTGCTTTAGGTCCAACCTTGTATTGAACCGATTGGCTTGGAGCGGGTCAGTAGGACCTAATTCACAGGGTCTCTCTCCAAGGAAGAAGTGATACTACTGTCAGGTAATTATTTATAGATCATCTATGCCTGAAGCCCTGTGCTCTAGGAGCTCTTTGGGAGAGCTACTGTGACTGTGCCCTTTTATGGCAGAAGCACCACAGAGCATGCTAGAAGTATGAGCTCTCTCTTGAAGAACCTAGACATAAGGAATACAAGAACACTCCAGCAATGTAACACTATAATTGATGATGACTCATAAGAAAAATGCTCAGAATCCCCATCATGGGCAGCCTGCTGATTCAAGGACAGACAGAAAGATGGAGACAAAGACTGTCAACCTGCAATTCTCAAAGCAAATCATTCAATTTACCTCTGACAATCAGGAAACTCTGTCCTCTGGTGTCAGGGCCATAGTTTTTGTTGTTGTTTAAATATATTTTTACTAGTAGCCCTGCACATGAATCTGTGCACCAGTAGCTCTCTGCGGGGCCTGGCCACTCCATGCCCGCTGCCCAGAGGCTCTCTGCGGCCCAGAGGCCCATCCACGCCCCATCCAGCCTGGCCAGAGGCCCATTCGCAGCTGGGAAATGCAAACGACTTCCCTCCCTGTTCTCAGAATTCCGATAAAGGGCTTCCTTCCTCTTTCTCGACCACCTTTCACCCCTGTGCCTCCACCACCAGCCCCTCCTGTCACACTATCCTCCACCCCTCCACCATCTTGTCACCCGGACTTGACCTTGCCCAGGAGTCGGGAGCCACTCGACTCTGCTCAGCTCGCCGGTTCCTTCTCTTCTTATGCAAGCATTCCGCGTCCCGGCATGGCCAGAGGCCCATCCATGGCCACGGCGACGAAGCAAGCATTCCGCCAGGCCGCTCATGCTGCCTGCTCTCAGCGGCCACCCCCCACCCCCCGGGACTGGGGGACTTCGGCGGGGCTGAGAGGACTGGGCGCCGCCAACTTGTGGCTATGGGCACCGCCATCTTTGTGATGGAGTGACAGTTAATTTGCATATTACCCTTTTATTAGATAGGATTGATTTTAGAGAGGGAGAGAGAAACATCAATGATGAGAGAGAATCATTGGTTGGCTGCCTCCTGCACACCCCACACTGGGGATCGAGCCCGAAACCAGGGCACGTACCCTGCCTGGGAATCAAACCGTGACCTCCTGGTTCATAGGTCAACGCTCAACCACTGACCCATGGTCGGACATCAGGGCCATAGTAAGGCTAGTTCAGTGAGTCTGAGGGGCACAAAGAAGTTTCTTGGAAAGTGCACCAGGCTGAACTTGATAACCTTTAATATGCAGGCTGAGCGATCTCAACTTTCCTTCGGGTTTTTTAGAAGATGACCTGGACATTGCATTAATTTCCTTCCAAGTCAGAAATTCTCAATCATTTCCTAGTTAAGAGCTATGTAGTCACCTAAAAAAAGGCCTGGAAATGTGTGACTGAGAGCTCAATCCATATCATTTCACTTTACAGAGACCTAAAAATATTACGAGTTCCTACTGTAATACTAAAGTGCAACAAAAAATGTAATCAACATAAAATCAATTAATGAAACTAGATACAGCAATGAATTCTGCACTTCTAGTCTTCTTTCTACCTAAATTACCTCCTGATGTGTTATCCCCAGCATTTAATGGTTGGCCACTGTATACACATAATCTTTAATGATACAATTACACTAAAATAGCAATTACTTTTAGAGATCTATTATGTGAGCTTTACGCATATTATTTCTTACACCAAACCTATGCGATAGATTTATCATCCAATTTTACAGATGAAGTACAAAATTTGAGATTTTAACTTATTTACCTAAAATCACATTTTGTAATACATAAAGCTAGGATCTGCTTTTAAAACTCACATTTTAAACACTACTTCATTACATGCTATATTTCTAAATATGTGTCTCCCATTCTCCCTATCTTATTCAATGATATGCTTTTCCACCATCTGGCTAGGAACATGATTATAATACAACTAGAGGCCCGGTGCACAAAATTTGTGCACTTGGGGGGGGGTCCCCCCCTCAGCCTGGCCTGCACCCTCTCCAATCCAGGACCCCTCAAGGGATGTCTGACTGCCGGTTTAGGCCTGATCCCTCTTGCAATCCGGGACCACTGGCTCCTAACCACTCCCCTGCCTGATCACCCCTAACCACACTGCCTGCCTGCCTAATCACCCCTAACCACCTCTGCCTGCCTGATGCCCCTAACCACTCCCCTGTCTGCCTGATCACGCCTAACCACTCTCCCCCGCCGGCCTGATCATCCTTAACCACTCTCCCCTGCCAGCTTGATCGCCCCCAACCGCCTCTGCCTCAGCCCCACCACCCTGGCTTTGTCCAGAAGTACGTTGGTCTATCCCATCTAATTAGCATATTACCCTTTTATTAGTATAAATGTGATAAGCAGTAACATGATGTAGTGCAAAACAACACAAGCTTTAGTATCTGAAAGATCTGTGTTTAAGTTCTGTTTCTATTTCTTACTACAATATTACTCCAAGAAATGTACTTAATTTTCTGAGTATCTATTTTGCCATCTATAAACGAGGAATAACTCTCTTGCAGAATTGTTCTGCAGATTAACTGGTCATCTATGTAAAGCATATTGAATGGTGCCTGGTAATACAGTTAGCATGCAATAAATGCTATTATTATTTTCAGATACACAAAATAGTATGGGAGAAGAAAACACCTGCCTAGAAGATGAAGGACACAAGTACACAATATTCAAAGAAGGATTCCTACTAGTTTTGGTGCCTAATCTGAGCACGCGAGTCTCTTTTTCTCTATCTCTCAGGATGACCCAATGTGCTTGAGGTTCACTCCTTGACTGCTACCTAAACACATTGGTAGTGCTAACAGGAAACCCTGCACTGAGGGCCAAGAATGGAAGGAAAGAAGAAAGCACACTGTGCATGTAAAGTGTTGGACCTGAAATCAAAGGACTCTGAATGTTTCCAAGCTTCTGGCTGGAGTGGGTAGGAAGCTGGCTCTGACTTCCCACTGGCTAATCAGGATGGTCGGTCTCACTCCAGGGCACAGTTCTCTTCCATCTCCATTGGAACTACCCAGTGGAGCTTGGGTACTAAGGGCAGGAGGGATGAGAGCATCCCAGGACCTTCTCACACAGCCCTGCCTCAAAACTGGTCATGTGGAACAGAAGAGTGAAATTAAATTCCCAGAGTTCAATGCCTGGATGCTACTCAGGAACTATGCAAGGTCAGGCCTGTTTGAGTTAGTTTAACATAAAAATTATAAGCATTTGAAGGGGCTGAGGTTTCAGAATGAGTTTGAACATAGAAATAGTTTGTGCTATTATTGTTGAAAAGTTAAAAGGACTTTTTAAATTATGAAAAATACTCTGACTGTGACCTTTAGAAAAACAATATAATTATTTTGACTCTTCCAAATATAATCCTTGAGATATTTTGAATAGCAGGCAAAATTATTGGAAAAGGCAAATTTACTGTTTAAAATAAATTGAGCTATAGGCTAAGGGAGCAATGGCCATTATGACTGCTTTTTAGAGAGCTACAAGATTCATGACTTCATATTTAACAAAAATGTCACAGATGCACAAAGATTTTTTGGGAGACTTTATATATCTGAAAAGAATAATTTCAGTATACCCCATGCACTGAAGATGAGAGAGAAAGTAATTTTCCAAAACTATTAGGATATTCTAATAGTCAAGTTAAAAAACTGATTATCTGCACTACAACTTCTTTCACCTTCCAGTCTCCATTTTTTAAATAATTTTTTTAATAAGTCCAAGACTTTATTAGCCGCATGCTAGAAAATGGGCAATATATGTTTCATGTTATAATATCCTTCAGACATTAGGAAACTATCTTCTTGGTTCTAGGTGACAGTTTAACTCAGTCAATCTGACCTCCAAGAGCACCACTTTGATCTCTGCTCACACTCCACTCCCAATATTAAGCACAAACTATATCACTTTAAAACTGATGGAAGAAATTAGAGAGCATCCTGGCAAGGCCACCACATTACAACCAGTAGCTAATTTCTGTGAAGAATTCAGATAAGAATGAAGCCAGATAAGAATGGTGTACGGCCCTAGCTGCTTTGGCACAGTGTCAGCCTGTGGACAAAAGGGTCCTGGGTTAGATTCCGGGCAAGGGCACGTACCTCGGTTGCAGGCTCCTCTCTGGCCCGGGCCCCGCAACCAATCGATGTGTTTCTCTCACACCAATGTTTCTCTCTGTCTTTCCCTCTCTTGTCTACTCTCTAAAAATCAATGAAAAAATATCCTCGGGTGAGGATTTAAAAAAAAAAAAAGAATGATGTACGTACCTGTACCACAGGATCTTTTGGTTGGTGTGATTAACGAGACATGAGCTGTGTCTGTGCATGGCCCACCTAGAAATAGAAAGGCAGGCACATCAATCAGGACATACCCGCTACATGCCCATAGCTGCTATCTTGGATAAAAAGAAACCTAAAAAGGCAGGGATCAACCTGAAATAATGCATAATAGGAAAGATGGAGAAGGTGGTGATAGTGGTAGATGAACTTAGTTCAGCAATTTAGATCTATATTTTTTCTACATTAGAACATGCTTTTCATAAAAACTAACTGAATATCACATAATGTTAAAAAGTTAAAGGATAAAATTTTAACTAGAATTCCAGTCCAACGAGAAGAAATTACCCACAAGTTTGGGGAGATGAGCTTTTCTACAAAGCAACAGCAGGAGTACACCCTCTTAGACTGATCTCAGTTGTTACCCTACCTTTGAATTCATTGCAAAACTAGCCTTATTTTTTTTTTGGGGGGGGGGCTGCCTAAGGAACAACAAACTGCTTGTCAAAAGAGATATAGATCATTTTAATATATAAAGAGAGCATTGGAACCAAGAAAGAAATGTCTAGTTTAATTATAAGAATATGATATAAAGAGGGCATTCATGGAATCTTTGAGGGTCCAGAAATCTAATGGATAGGCATCATTCAAGGGTATGCAAAAGATTTAGTCAGTCAGTGGGTGAAGGCTTGAAAAGCAATAATTTCAAGACCACCAACAAATTCTTAAGTTGGTTCAGAATCAGGACTACCAACAAGTTCTTAAGTTGATATTGATATATACCTCAACACTCCCCACCAACCATGTCCTAACTTCTGAAATTAGAAGTTAATAAATAAACATAAAGACCACTGGTTCTTGATATGCCCTGGAAAGGGCCGTGGTGATGATCATAAAGAAATAGAACACACAGGCAAATGTTACACATATTTTCTGAAAAGGGTTCCAGGTGTCTATGACTAGTAAAGGTAAATATGGTTAATTGACAGAGTTGTATATCACCCAGAAGAAGATTTCATATCACTGAAGTTTCTCATCAAAAGGAAAAGATGAAAAAGCTCTGAGACCTATTCTTAGAGTTTATGCCACGAAGATCCATGGGATTTAGGGACCTAGAAATCATACCTAAGAGTTCATTGTTAGTCCACTCTTTTCTACACCAAGGACATAACAGCAGTTTGGCAAACCTTAGTGGGTATAAGAAGACACAGAGGGGAAATGGAAAAGGGGAGGAAAAACTAAATAAGTGTATTATTAATGTCCAAAAGCATTTAGCAAATACCTATTATGTGCCATCATGGGTTAGTCTCATGCTCAGGGAACTTACAAGCTTATTAGGAGGACAAAATTTGTGTAAATAATTGAGAAAAATACATGATAGCAATAAAGAGCTGGGTCAAAAATGATCAAGTGTCAAAGAATATGGAACAAGTAATGAATGCTAAATGTAATCAGGAAGAAGGATATTCATCATTGGCCAGCATCACTTGGAAATACTTTTGAAGAATTTCAAAATGAGGCAAGAATAAAATGTAAGACCAAAAAAGCAGGGCATTTTCTACAAATGTCACTTCCTCAGAGAAAGCTTAACATACTAAAATTAAACAGATTCAAACAGGCAACTGTGACATGAAAATAAGTAACATGGAGCCCTGGCTGGATGGCTGAGTTGGTTGGAGCGTCATCCCATACACCAAACGGTTGCAGGTTCAATTCCTGTTCAGGACACATACCTGAATTGAGGGTTTGATCCCCAGTTGGGTGTGTACGGGAGGCAACCCATCAATATTTCTCTCTCATATCAATGTTTCTCTCTCTCCTTCTTTCTCCCCTTCTAAGACCAAAAAAGCAGGGCATTTTCTACAAATGTCACTTCCTCAGAGAAAGCTTAACATACTAAAATTAAACAGATTCAAACAGGCAACTGTGACATGAAAATAAGTAACATGGAGCCCTGGCTGGATGGCTGAGTTGGTTGGAGCGTCATCCCATACACCAAACGGTTGCAGGTTCAATTCCTGTTCAGGACACATACCTGAATTGAGGGTTTGATCCCCAGTTGGGTGTGTACGGGAGGCAACCCATCAATATTTCTCTCTCATATCAATGTTTCTCTCTCTCCTTCTTCTCTCCCCTTCCCCTTTCTCTCTCTCTAAAAATTGATAAGCATATCCTTGGGTGAGAATAAAAAAGCAAAAACAATACAAGCTGCTTGACTGAATCAGGAGATTAATGTACATTTATTAAAATCCTCTTTAAAAATATTTTTTATTGATTTTTAGAAAGGGAGGGAGGGAGTGGGGGGAGAGAGAGAAACATCAATGTAAAAGTGGAACATTAATCAACTGCCTCCTGCACACCCCATATCAGCAAACAAGCTTGTATCCTGGGCATGTGCCTTGACCAGGAATCCAATTGGCAACCTTTTCGTGCCTGGGACAACACTCAACTAACTAAGCTACACTAGCCAGGGCTATTAAAATCTTTTTTAAAAACTGAGGTATAGCCGAAACCGGTTTGGCTCAGTGGATAGAGCGTCGGCCTGCGGACTGAAAGGTCCCAGGTTCGATTCCGGTCAAGGGCATGTACCTGGGTTGCGGGCACATCCCCAGTAGGAGATGTGCAGGAGGCAGCTGATCGATGTTTCTCTCTCATCGATGTTTCTAACTCTCTATCTCTCTCCCTTCCTCTCTGTAAAAAATCAATAAAATATTTTTAAAAAAATTAAAAAAATAAAAAAATAAAAATTGAGGTATAACAATAGCAAAATGAAATGTACAAATCTTAAATCTATACTGAAATGCACAAATCTTAAATGTACAACATGAAG